ATTTTTAAACTCCAGGAAGGAATACTCACTCTGCCTTCCCTCATCCTTGCAGCCACTTCTTCGCTTTGGCCAGGTGTAGAAGGGTCTTTACTATCTGTCGCCAAGGTTTTCCTCTAAACCCATCTCCTGAGATGACTGCCTTAATAAAGGGAGGAGAACAAAAAGGAGGGCCTTGCTTTTTTCCTGTGACGTTTTCAGTTTTCTACATACTGGAATGAAATGCCTTTTTATTCACAGAACTTATATAGTCTTGAAATAGCTTAACGGGTTTAATCGAAGATGTTCCGATTTTTGAAACGTATATATTTTTACCTCAACAGGATGGTTTTAATGTGGGAAGATAAACTGAACAGCCTCTTAAATCTCCCCACCTCCCTTTCCTTCTCCTGCCCTAAAGAAGCAGAAACAATTTATATACATAACTGCCTGGAGAAAGAGCTTGTCAAATTTACTATCAGTGTTACTAGTATCAGAATATACTTGCAAAAGGTGAAAAAGACTTCAATAATCTGCAGTGTTTGTTTGGTTTTTTCCCTAATTGCTCATCTGCAACTACATATTAGTTGACAAAATTGGGGCAAGAGATTAAAATCTCTCAAAGGAAATTTTCTGGCCGCTCTGGGTGGCTGACTCAACATACTAAAACATTAGGAACCACACTTTCTGATCAACCTATGTGACTACGAAAGCAATCAAAATAGAAAAGAAAAAAATTTCTTAGTCACTGAATATAAATCAGGGATTACAAAGGATGGATTATTTTATTCTAACATGAAGTCTAATGAACTTGAGCTCTCGCACATGTTTCAAGGAATTGGGGTACAACCAGGTACACAACATTAGGTATCGGGTAAAGCTACACTTAATAGTAGCTTGGACTTTTCACTGATGGAGTCGAATTCACTGTTCTGATTTTTTCCCCAACATTGTATTATAAAACGTTTCAAACATACAGGAAAGTGGAAAGAGCTGTAGAGTGGCCACTCTTGGGACTCTGCGGTTACGGCCTCACTCCACCTGCTCTGTCCGTCGTCCGTCCACCCGGCAGTCTGAGTGGTTGCCTCCTCCAGGCATCCGACTTCCTCCGGTTTCTACCTGCTCTTGGTCACTCTCCAGCGCCTCCACTCCAGGTAGCTGTTTTTATATTCGGTTGGTTGACAGTTGCTTTGTTTGGCAGGGTTGGGCTCCTGGGAGCTGCTCCACCGTCACTGGAAGCAGAACTCTCCTTGATTTTTTTTTTTAAACTCTTTTCTAGACTGTTGTGAGAGATTAAGCTTTTCTTGTGACTAGGAAGAAACGAGATCTTGAATTCAGAATTATGTCACTTGAATATAAATTTCATGTGAGTGAACACAGGGAGTTCTTGACTCAGTGGATGCCTAAACATTGGCCATTTTGTTCTTTCCTCTTCTGAGTCCTCGGCCCTGCGGTTCCAATCCCTCAGTTACATCGTGGGCACATTTTGACCCCAGCACTTCAGTTAGTAAAGGCAGCCCAGCTTAAAATTTCAGCGGCAAGCTTTCCTGAAATCTGGTCTGTCCTCTGCCTCCTGGGCAGGCTGGAGTCCTGGGCAAGGGTGAGCGGTGGGAGGGCCTGGCCTGCCCTCTGCTCCGCCTTCCACCCTGGCACTCAGACCGGAGGGCCTGGCTGCACTGTGCCCTGGGACACCGCTGCTCCCTCCCCTTCTAGGCTCTGACTCCTCCAATGTGGGGGCAGGAAGGAGAGACCCAGGGGAGAGCGCCCACGTTTCTTCTGTTCCACTCTCACATCCTTTTCCCTGCGCTGGCTCAGCTCTGAGGAGACGGAGGCCGTGCCCAGCCTCTTCGGTGCTCAACTGCTCCATATGGGAAACGCCAGAGGGAGGTCGTGCCCGGCGCTTCTTCTGTTACCTTCCCTGGGTCTGTCGTCCACTCAGTCCCCTTCCTCTCAGCTGGGCACAGGGCCTGACCAGCCAGACCACCGTCCAGGCAGAAGGCCATGCGGGGTTGGGACGCCAGGTTTTTGCATCACCCTCACTCTTTGCCAGTGATTTCTCAATGCTCCCATCTCGTGGAAAGTGGGGGAAAGCACCCCAGCCCTCTCCCCACTGAGGGTGGGATCAGCTCTTTCTGAGGGTCGGGCACACAGAAAGCAGCCGGCACCCCTCCTGCACGCCTTGCATCAGCGGGCGGAGGTGGGGAGAGGAGAGACAGGGCTGGGATGAAGGCTGCGGGTGACAGGATCGGTTCTGCCATATTTTCGGAAGTCCCGAGGTGTCTGTTCCCCTTGTTGGTGGCCGTCTTTACAACGGGGTGAACCTAATGCTGCTTTAGTCTCACTAAGGGCCCTGGTCACCAATTCCTGGACAAGTAAAAGCCTTCCACGCAACACGCTTGTCCCTAAAAGACAGCAAATGAACATGGTCAAGTTGTCTTGACTAATAAGCCTGAAAATGAAACTCAGCAAGTACCTGACATTTGCAGGAACTCTTGTTGACATGGGTAATTCAAGACAAAATTAATCCTGTCTTAGAAGCACTCATGATGTGTTCATAATTACAAAAAAAAATATTAAACACTTGAGGTGAGTTGGGGCCCCCCTCAACACCCAGGTGAGAATGTTGACTCTAGGTGATTCATTGTAGCTCATACCTTCCTTTTAATCATCAAATAACTTTTATCTCACAAGCAATCACATCTCTTCATCCGTCAGCTGACAGGGAGCTGGGAGCTGCCACCCTGTGGCTGTAAAATATTACTGTACTTCCAAGGACACAGAGAGGAGCACTAGACGACTGTCACCAACCGCAGATGCTCAGAACACAAAGGGAGCCTCCACGTCTTCTAACTCAGACTCACCTACTTCCTGCTGCAGGAAGCCCAGCATGGCCAGCTGAGTTCAAGGACCCACCACCTGACCAAAAAGGATGGTTCATGGGGAACTGGCATTTTGCTCAGTTATTTTAAATGCTGAAGGATGTTGAAAATTTGGTCGTTTCTGTTTTTGTTGCAACCTTACCAGGTTCACTGCCGGCTGCTCTAGAGGAAGCCAACACACTGAGACGGCAGGCGTTACCGCAGAGAAAGGGTTCAATATTGCAGGCGCCATGAGAGGAGATGGGAGTTCTCAAATCCGTCTCGCCAAGAATTCCGAAGAAAGGGATTTTAAAGCTAGTTTGGCAGGCAGAGGGCAGGCAATTGGTTCTGCTGATTGGCTGGGCTCAGGGTGGAGTCACAGAGTGTAGAAATTGTCTTCTTATGCTGAGTCAGTTCCTGGACAAGTGTCAAAAGACCGGTTGGGTCAGTTCCTTGGGTGGGCCACTGGTGTGGGTAGGTCAGCGGATGCCCTGGCAGGCAGGCCTGGAAGATGTCTCAAAAACTAGCCTTGGGGCTCACGAGGGTGATGTTATCTACGGGAGTAATTAAGAAAGTTAAGAATCTTTATGACCATCACGTGACTCCTGAGCAGCAATGCTGGGAAAGCAACTCGGGGATAACGACTGGCACATAAATATCACTGTTTGAACTGTGCCTATACCTTTGCAGGGTTCGGGCCCCCACCACAGTTCCCACCTTGTGGACCTTCATTAACTTTTATAAAGCGTGGTTTCATTATATCGAAATGCCAATTTCTTTCCACTGAAAACAAATACAAGGTGGAACCCTCCCCTAGCATCCCTCAGTCCCCCCACCATGGGTCCTTTGCGAGTGGGCACCTGGCCGCCCTTGCCCACTGTTTAATCCCCAGCACGATTCCAGCATCAGGACATGCCCAACCTGCATTTCCCTCACAAACATTTAACATGGTTTAGTCCATCCGACTTATGAATTCTGAATGAGTGATTCTAACATAAGTTTTCAATAGGTTACCATTCTAGAACTATCCACTTTGAAAATAAGCACAAAGTACTTCTTTTCTCTTTATGTGCAGGAAATATCTAGAGACCTTAAAATTGTATTTACTACTCTTTTCAATAAGCTATCGATTTTAATGAAAATAATAAACTATTCAAATTAAAATATTCTGCAGCATCTCACAGAGCTCTGAATGTACAGAAAGCTGAGAAAGCTGACCTATTTCATCTCTTAAAGAACTGTTTACTATTTCAACCAAGGTAATGTGATAACTAGGTAATAGCTTAAGGCAGTCAGGCTTAAATGTAACACATTGTGTTTTAAAATTTGCTTACTGCAACCGTAAGCAATGGTGTGCTACAACCCCATCTTGTGCATTTTGTCAGAATTCTAACGCAGACTCCCAGGGTGCCACCAACACCCTGTCCACAGGGAGGTGCTTTCCCAGCTCTACTCCTTCCTACTTTAATTCCAAACTCAAAAAGACAGATTCATCTAAGCTTGAAAGAGGTGTTAGCAGAAATAGTCTGTAAACCCCAGAGTCCTGAGACACGGTTGGAATAGAGAGTTTTAGGGTTTTGGAAAGTAAAATTTTTTTTTCTTTTCTTTCTTCTATATCCTTCCCGCCACCCCTTAATAAAGTGAGTCTTTCTTGCAGTCATTTTCTACTTTTTTTTGTTTCAAAAGGATAGGGGTTATAGGAAATAATCATTAAAATATCCTGCTATAGAAAGAGATTATTGTGCATTCTATTTGGAAACTAAAAACCAACAAGGAAATAAAGAAACATATTGGTAACACGCCACTTTCCCCTAAGCGCTGGTTTTGTATTCCTCCGGCTGAGCTGTTCTTCCCATGGTGGGACCCCAGCCAGCTTTCTGTGTGCGTGCGTGACCATGGCAGCTTTATTTCCACCCCTCCCTTCCTAGGAACTCCACTGGTCCGAAAGGATGTCAAAGCTTGTCAGTCGGCCCTCCCCACGCTGATAAACTCAAGGATACTGGGGAAGAGGGAGGAGCAAGTTGGATGAAAGTGTCTGGGCCAGAGTGACCTGAGAACACTGGAGGAGAAGCCCCTGGCAGGGGCGAGGGTGTCTGTCTCCCGCGAGACCACCAGCTTGGCCATCACCTGCACGCTCTGGGTGCGTCTGGGCAGCCCCCGGCGGACATGAACTGCAAGGGGCACCCGTCGCTGCTGCTGCTGCTGCTGCTGCTTCCTGTGCTGCTGGGGCTGCTGCAGGTGAGCTGCGAGGGAGAGTGGGCACAGCTCCTTCCAGGCGAGGGGAGCGAGGGGGGGACTGCGTGTGGCCTGGCTGAGACTCACGCAGGAAGGGCGATGTGTAGCGGGGAGCCGGGGCTGGCCGTCTTTGGTATGGTGGGTAGGCAGCGGGGGCTCACAACTTACATAGAAGGGGGTTAAGGATCACAATCCATTTGGGGGAATTGTGGGGACAGACTAAGGGAACTTGTCTTAAAACTGGTTTATATAGCACATACGATTTGATTTTATTTAGATTACATCAACACGCATGAGTTTTCTAATGAGACCTCCATTTACACTTTACGTAAGATTAAGAAAAACCTCAATTGTCTACATCAAAGACAATTTGAGGAACCTGATGGGGATGCGAGGGCTACAACCATCCCCCCACCACCACCTGCAGCCATTGCCGCTGCTCAAATGGGAATACAAACAAAACCAGTGGAATCAGGATTAGGAAAACATGGGCTTGCCGAATCCTATAATACATCTTTTCTAACATACTGGTCCTGAGACACCCCAGTGCCCTGTGGGGTACATCCTCCCCCACTTAATAAACCCAACTTGTTCAACTCAAGGTACGTTCATGCCCCTGGTCATTGACTACAGGGCACTGACACCATGAAGAGCCTTAAAACGGCATAGTAAGGTGGCGAATAGTGCATATCCTATGCCTCCATTAATGCTTTGTAACAGCCACAAGTTCAGACATAAATTGACAGCTCCCCGCAAAAAAGAAAAATATGGGCCTGTTCCGTTTGTACTTAAAGTGGACAGAGTTAGTGTTGCATATGCTTCTTGGTTATGATCTGCTCAATTTGTTTTCTGCAGGTAGGGAGTGAGAATCACTTCTTCCTTTTAATTCCAGCTGGGGGTGGGAGGAGGCAGCACAGTGTTCAGGGGTAAAGACCATGGGGTCTGGATTGGGTCACTTAGCGTCCTAACCCAGGCTCCTCCACGTCCTGCTGGGCACCTGGGCTAACTTGAGTGTGGTCCTCATCGTGGCTCAAGGCGGACTCACCTGGGGAGCTTCAGAGACTCTCAGTGCCTGGTGCTACCCGAGAGGTTGAGACTGAACTGACCTGGGGCGTGGCATGGGTGTCTTTTTTTTTTTTTTTAATAACCTTGTTAAACCTCATTTTCTTCACTGAAAATGGAGCTAATAATTGAATTTACCTAACCCAGTGGTTGTGAGAATAAATGAGAAAATGCATAAAAGAGCTTGGCAGTGTGAAAGTTGTCAGAATCAAAATGGGGTTGCTTATGTAACAAAACAAAACAAAAGAAACAAAAGAAAACAAAACAAATCCTGACAAATAGGGCCAGGGAAGGCTATAAGAGACGGTGCTCACATTTCTATTCCCGGTAACAAAATCTATCACAAAAGACTCTGCAAGAACCACAACCTTGCACAAAGGCCACCAAAATCTTACACAAAAATGCTTCTGTGAGGACATCTGCCCAGCTACTGCCTGTCCAGCCTTTACCTGGCATTACCCTTATCACTGATTTTTGTAACCAAGGATAATAATTTCAAAACAATTACGTAATCCTAATCTTTTTCCTTTAAAAACCTTTGTCTTCCTTTATCTCCCTGAATATACACACAGTTTGCAATGACATGCATATTCCCATCGCAATGTCCTATTCCCAAACAAACGTCATTTTCTTTTAGTGAGACTCTGTGTTTGTTGCTCAGGTTGATGGCACAGCGACTAACGCTCGGCCCATGGGCTCTTAGGTCTGTGTCTTTCTGTTTCCTGATCTTGGTGAAAATGGTGGGCTCCGTCCATTCATTCCGAGCTCACGCTACACTATTTACTGGACACCTGCTCTGCACCTTTGTAGGCACAGGGGAAACCGCAGTAAACAGAACAGAAGGGAGAACCCTGAATTATAACCCACTCACTCTCACGGAACCCTCTGAAAGCCAGTCTCAGTTGCTTGGAGTTTGGAAAATTTTCTTGGCTACATTTTGCCATATCAAGAGTTGTGAGTGTTCTACTGTTCTCAACACTTTATCTCCACTGCTTCGTGGAACCCTGTTTAATAGCCCATGCTAGCATGGATTTTGAATATTTTGCAGATCAAATCCTGTCCTCGTCTTTCCTCCCTGCAGCTAGTTTCGCCAGGAAGGAGAATGGTGTCCTCCTCTGTCGTATTGATTAGTGCGGCGCCCGGCGAGTTAACTGACCTCTGAGGGAGTGCTGGGTGGGGGCGGGCAGTAGAGATTGTACAGTGACCAAACTCCAGTGTCTGATGGCAGCCGTTTTATATATTAATGGATTCCAGGAAGCAAGACAGATAAAGAAAACAAGATTCAATAGGTGTTAGTTAAAGGTCAGAATCCCAGACATTTAACTGGGCAGAGCTTCATAGCCAGCAGGTGCTCGGTTATTTGCCAAGTTGGCCATAGGTAACTTATTCCTTTCCACTTCTTTCCTTCCCCCACACTGGTTTATAACCATCTCTGACGTCCATGAGAAGTACCCACCCCACCCCCCGATCTCCACATTTAAAAACTGGTACCTGTTGTGCTGAAGCACTGTAACGTCACCAGAGTTTTCCTCTGAAATCCCCACGCCCTTGCCCAGTGACCAAGTTAAGACTCTGTTCTGCAGGTTTACAGATTCAGTGACAAGTAATGACATGCCCCGGACAAGGAGTCTTACTTCTCTTCTGGGTCATTTCCTGTCCCGAGAGCCCATGAACCCTCAGCTTTGGGCTGTGGCAGGCTTCAAAGACCAGAGAGGAGGGAGGTTTTAAGAGAATGAAATTGGACAAGGACGAAAACCTATTATGTTTTTTTGTTGCTGGTGGTATTTTTATCTAGGAAATTCTGAATCGCGTTCTCTCTAAAAAAAAATCATCAGCATTTATGCTCCGACCGATTCATTCTCTCACATTCTTTCAGCCCTTCATCCAAGACCAGCAGAGCTGGTGGGGACAGTGTGGTCAGAGGCAAAGCTGAGAGGGTCAGGAGGGGACGGAGCAGGCTGGACTCAGTCCTGAGAGCAGCGGGAACCCAGTGGGGTCTGATGCTCCGGCAGAGTGAAATCTACATGTTTAAAAGGTCACCACGCTTCTATGCAGAGACTGTGTTAGGAGAGTGTATCAGGGTCCTGGGGCTGCCAAAACAAAGTACTACAAACAGGTGGCTTAAAATATGAGAAATGTATTCTCCCACGGTTGTAGAGACCAGAGGTCTGAAATCAAGCTGTCAGCAGCCCCCCTCCCTCAAAGCCTCTGTGGGATCCTTCCTTGCCTCTTCTAGCTGCTGAAGGCCAGCGGTCCTCGGCCTTCCTTGGCTTGTGGCCACGTCAGTGCCATCTCTGTCATCACAGGCCTTCTCCTTTGGTGTCTGTGTGTCTCTGCTCTCCTTATAAAGGCACAGTCATCGGCTTAAGGCCCATCCAACCCAGAATGATTTCGTCTCAATTGGTTACATCTGCAAATGTCCTATTTCCAAATAAGGTCACAGGGAGCAGGGATGAGGACATCCACATATGTTTTTAGGGATGGGATTCAACCCGCAATAGGAGGATGGGGTTGGACAGTGAGAGAGCAGTCAGTTGGCTTCTCCAGAGGGTGGAAACTTCAGCTATCAGAGGTGGAAACAGAGAGGAGCTGGCAGACTCCAGGGAGCCTTAGGAAGTCAAATGGATGGAACTTGGATGTGGGGATGAGAGAGGAAGGGGTGTCAAGGGTGACTCTGGAATGAGCAGGCAGGTGTCTTTTGTTGAGCTGTGGAGCCCTGAAGACGGGGCAGGTTTGTGAGAACACAAGCTGTGCTGTCAGCCTTGGACATGGTGGATTTGGGGTGCTTGTGGGAGATACAAGCACAAATAGTATGCAGAGACTTGAACAGGAAAGCAGCAAACGCTTACTTAGCCCTTACTTTCCTAAGCACTTTGTGCTGAGTATTGTAAGTTAAAAAGGGATAAGAACAGCACCTTCATGGTTGGACTGCTGTGAGGATTAAATATACACACATATACATTTACTTGTGTGCGTGTACACAGATGAGGACAATCAGACTCAGGTTAAATTACCTGCCTGACATCACACAGCTGGTGAGGGATAGAACAGGATTTGAACTCAGGCTGTCTAAATTTGTACATCCACATGCTAACCGCTAGTCCATAGTATCTGCACTGGCCAGTGTTGCAGCCACTAGTCACATGTGGCATTTTCCATTTAAATAATTTAAATAAAATTTAAAATTCAGTTTTACACTAGCACTAGCCACATTTTAGGTGCTCAGTGAGCCACGTGTGGCTAGTGACTAGCACGCCGAGGGCACAGGTGAGAACATTTCCATCCTCACAGCGTCCCCCGACTGCCCCGCCCGAGCTCAGAAGAGAGGTGTTGGGTGGAGATCTCAAGACTCTGCACAGGGCTCTCTCGTGGGAGATGCGAATACTGATGCCTAGGATCCCGGTTCTCCTTGAATGAAAGTTTGCATTCAAACACGAAACATTTTCAAGCATTTCAAGAAAGAATGGATTCCATACAGGCTTCTTCGTTCTGCAGTACCTCATATAGACACAAAGCCTTCCTTCACTCGGATAGTTTTCCCCCAAAATGCCGTGGCTACCCAGCCTGGGTGACACAGATTGTGTGCCACAAGTCTGCCACACAATAATATGCCTGCCTGGCACCCACTGATAAAGTGTTTGGGCAGCAATGCAGCTGGAGGAAGCAGCTTCTAGAAAGTTCTCTCCCCCCTCACATTATAGAAAGCATTGTGCAAATCTTTTAAATGATATCCTCTTTGGACAAACTGCCTAAAATTGGCGTGGGTGGGAAATATAAGAAGAACACTTACAAAGTCATTACAGTAAATGTAACAGTTTCTAGTCCTCCTACCTCACCCAGACCAGCCGTCTCACATTAATTTCTAAGGCAGGTACGAGAGCAGAAAGGAGACACTCAGTGATGTGGGATTTCGGGTGTCTGGGTGGCAGAGTGTAAACATT